CGGGCCTGGGCATCACAGGCGGTTGCACCACCGTGCCCATCGCCAACATCGTCAGGTTGCTTCGCCTCCCGGGGGAGCGTGCGGAGCTGGGAAGTAACTTCCCTGAGAGAATTTTGCGCAACACAGCCTGGGCGTGCGGGCAGAGCCTCTCCATCCCCAGCAGGACGTGGTGCTAACCCCACTCGGGGGTCTCAAATCTGCCTTCCCAAAGCAAAGGCATCGCCCTGGCTCCTGCCAAGTGGGAGGTTTGGGGTAATTACAGAGGCACCCGATATCCCAGCATCCCTGCCCGGCTTTGGGGGTGATTACGGAGGCTCCCTATATCCCAGCATCCCTGCCCAGCTTTGGGGTGATTGTGGAGGCACTGTGTACCCCAGCATCCCGTCCCGGCATCGTGTGTGCAGGGATGGAGGCGCAGCAGCCCTGGCTGGCTGGGCTTCACAGCCGCTCTGGCAGGAGCGGTAATAATTAACGAGTGGATGCCTGGGAGTCACGGGAGGAGAAAGATGAGCGTCCCAGATACAGCCGGAGAGTGACTGTGCTGCAAAGCCCGGGGCTGGCAGTGTTTTTCCCGGTAAGGACCATCCCCAAAAACAAGCTCTAAAAAGTTTTGAGGTGTTTTTAGAAGAAAAGTCCCGGCTGGGACTGCAGGCCTAGGTGAGAGTGCAGCACTGCTGCCTGGGGAGCTCCGCTGCTCTTCGAGGCGGTGGGACCATTCGTGATGCCATGGCATGAGTGGTGTCACTGTGTCTGGCCCCCGGTGATGAGGCTGGTCCCTCGCAGTCACAGTCCAGACCCATCCCTGTGCCCTCAGCCGGGTTTGGGTCACAGGGCCATTGTCCAGGGGAGCTGCACACGAAGCCACTGGATTTTAAATGTCCCCAGCGTGAGGATGGCAATGTCACCTTTCAGGCAGAGCTGCTTGTCTGGGTGCTGCCAGCATCCCCGAAGCAAGAGTGTGATTTCTCGAGGGACGCAGCGGCCGGCAGGGTGTTGCACGGGTGGGAGCGCATCATGTGTGCAGGTGAAGCAGTGGATGGGACCTGAGTACAGGGGCAGGACTGGGATGCAGGAGCCGTCCAGGGACCGTCCCCATCCTGCAGCAGGAGCACAGGGAGACTCTGGTGACCCTGGAGGGCAGGGCAGGCACCGAGGAGCGGCGTGGCGGGGACCCCATGAGCATCGCACCGGTTGGACACACAAACACCCGGCATGACAACGGTTAATGCGGCAAAGGGTTTGGGAAGGGATAAAACCCCCGGGCTTGGGGGTTTAAACCAATTACTCTTGGAGTCAGGATGAGGCATCGTAGGGGGCAGCTTATCCCCCAGTTGCCCACTGTGCGGTTCTCACACTTCTCTCATTGTGGCTTCTGGGCTGTTGGAGCGAGGGATACAGTATCGGAGAGGTCAGGGAGCCCATCCAGCCTGGAAACATCCTCGTTCCCGCAGCCGAAACAGTCGGGAAGCGCAGGGAAGCCTCATCCTGCAGGAGACGGTCGTACCCTGGTGGGTTTCTCTGAGCCGAACCAAGCTGGGGAGGAAAGGCTTTACATGCGGAAGCCGCTTCACACCCACCCTTGATTTCCACAGAGCCTCACTCAAGCATCTTAATTGCTTTATGCCTTAGTTTCCCCTTCTATAATTTAGGGATAAGGCAACTTCCCTGCTCCCAGAGGGCTGAGAGCTTTAATTAAAGTTTGTAAAGTGCTTTGCAGTTGTTGAATGAAAGGCGCCAGCTCAGTATTGTTCCAGAAATGCCCCAAAGCAAGGAAAGCAAATGGTTTGAGACCAGGGCCGGGGGCGGGGTGATGGTGGTGGTGTTATAATATATACCAGTGCCATAAAGCAGCTGTTTCAATAGCCTAAGCATGCCTTAAAGTCAAGGGCTCATACTGCGCTGGCTGCGCGGCACCCTGCAAGGGTTTTGCTCACCTGGGGAACGCAGCGAGGTGCGAACGCTGTCCTTCGCCTCGCCACAAAAGGCTCCGGAGCAGAAAGCGAGTGTCGCCTGCACCGAATGCCGAAGGAGAAGGGGAGAAAGGTTGGGGGGGGGACAACAGTCCCGGAGGATGAGGTGCAGCAGCGGCTGCTTGGAGGGGCTGCGGGCACCGCACCACCTGCAAGTGGGTAAATGCTTCAGCCTGGCCTGTGCTGGGCTGGCAGCGGTGGCCGAGCAGCGGCACCTAGTGTCCTGTGGGGCCTGGGAAGCCGGGCAGCATCCCGTCACCACTGCCTGCAGCATCCTGCATCCCCATCCGTGGCATCCTGCATCCTGAAGTGCAGCATCCCGCATCTCTGCCTGTTGCAGCATCCCGCATCCCTGGCTGCACGGCATCCTGCATCACCAGCCGCATAGGTGCCCACAGCGTCCCACACCACTGACCATCTGGGTGCTTTCAGTATCCCAAACCGACTGCCGTGTCTGCGCTGCCATGTCCAGCCCCCGCCACGGGCTGCACTCCCGGCGCTGGCATCGAGGGTGTGTGAGGTCGGAGCAGGATGCTCCAGGCTTCGGGCAGATGAGGAGGACGTTATCTCCACGGGCTGCCTCTCCAGGCTCCCGGGACAGTGTTTGACCACCATCATGGTGGAAAAGGTTTCCTGAAACCTAAATGTGGTAAATTAATGATCTATAATTGTACTTGTATCCTATCTAGAATCAGGTACCTGGTTATACGTAGTCTGGCCTGAGCCTAACGATGCCACCCTAGCCCAGAGGCACAGGTCCTCACTGGAGGTGTGAGGATGGCTCTGTGTGTTGTCCCATGCAGTCATTGGAACCACGGCTGCTGTGCCCATGGTGTCACCTGTAGCACCCTGGCACCAAATGAAACAGGACCAGGTTTGGCTGCTCCTGCCGTGCTGTGCTGATCGGGGCACAGCCCTGAAACCAGGGAGATGGGCACGGGGTTGCAGTGCTGTAAGGAGGGTCCCGTGTGCCTGCTGGCCATGTGTCTGAGATGGGATCGAGTGTCCTTCACCCATCTTGGGTTTCTCCCAGCGGGGATGGGCAGCAGAGCGGAGCTGGGAGGCTGCAGCACCCTGCAACCTGCTGTGTTTGTCTTCCCCATCCCAGCTGGTGGAAGAAGGGAAACTGAGTCAGGGCAGGGTGGCAGTGGGAGCACTCCTGGGGGCACAGGGACTTCTGTTTTTCTGATCTCTGAGGAAAACTGAGCTTGCTGCCTGGTTGCAGCACCGTCCCTCACTGGGGCTGGCAGTGCCGGGACCCCCGTGAGCGCCCGTCTCTCCCTCTCCCCCAGGTGAAAGTGTGGTTCCAGAACAGGAGGACAAAATACAAACGGCAGAAGCTGGAGGAGGAAGGACCCGACTCGGATCAGAAGAAGAAAGGTTCCCACCACATCAACCGATGGCGCCTCGCCACCAAGCAGTCGAGCGGAGAAGACATCGACGTCACCTCCAACGACTAAGGCAGGGACAGGCTCCTGGTGCAGCCACCATGGAGAGGAACCCGGGGGAGGAAGGGGGGGCACAGGCGGCATCGCCAAACGAACTCTAGGGACATCACTGAAGCCACCGCTGCCGCCGCCTGCTGCCTTTCCTCCGGGGCGCCCGGCCTGACCGGGGACCCGCACCCCGTCCCCCCCCGCTGCCCGGGGCATCCCTTGGAGGTGCTTTTCGGGAAGCTCCCGCCGCCGAGCCGAGGAGGAAGAGGAGGCTGCCGGGGTGCCCGCGGCCCCAGGACGCGACCGCGCATCCTCCTCCGCGCTGGAAGCCGTCCGTCAGCCATGAGATCAAATAAAAACGTCCTACCTAGAAGCTCAGTGTAACCAACCCCTTTTTCATTTTCCTTTTTCGCCTTTTTTTTTCTGCCTCCCTCCTTTTCTCCGTTTTTGGTTGTTTTGTTTTTTTTTTTTTACACAGTTTTATTTTAATTTATTCTTTTATTTTTGTGCCTGTGTGTGTGCGTTCCCTGTCGTAGATAGTCAGCAGCTGTAGTGTGTGTTACTGCGTGGTAATAAAAAGCAAAATGCGCTGGAAACCTGTCTGGTTGCCTCAGTAGAGGAGGGGGGACAACAAGGGGACCGTCCCCCTCTCCTATTGCTGGTCGAACAGCTGTAGGGACATGGGTGTGGGGGGAACTGGGTGTCACTGAGGAGGGATGGGTCCCACGGGAGTAATGGAGCCAGGAGAGCTTGGTGGCCCCATCGTGGTGGGTGTTGGGGGGGGGTGAGGATGGCCGTAAGGACGGGGGTCTCCCCCGGGGGTCCCCAGTGGAGCGGGGCCACCGCCGGGGTGGCCGCAGGTATGAGAGGTATGTGGCGGCTTCGGGGCCGGCAGCTTCACACCTGCGTCGGGGATTGAATGTCGGGGAGAGAGGCGGGATCCAAAGGGCTCTGGCTCCCTCCTGATCCCCCGGGAATATCCTCGCCTGGGGACTCCCCCGAGACACGGGGTGCCAGGGGCTGGCAAAGGGACCCCCCTGGTCCCCCCCAGCAATGAGGGATTTGGGTGGGGGCGTCTTGGGAGATGAAGGACGGGCATCATTCCCACGTCTCGCTGGTGTTTGGGGGAAAGAATGCTTACAGTAATTTTAGATACATATGTAAAAATATAAAATATATATACACACGAATATAATAATTATATATACAATGTACCATATATATACATAGATATACAATTATACACATATATACATGCGTACAATATAGGCATATGTGTATATAATGTGTATATATACTGTATTTTATACTGTATATTTCATCTATATTGTATCTATAGCTGTATTATATATATTAATAGTATATGTACACACAATATATACATATATGTGTATATATACTGTATTGTATAATGTATATTACATATAAGTCTACAGACTTACGTATTTTATATATTTACATATTATCTGTTTTACTCTCTATATAATGGGTTATAATTATATATAATATTATATACACACACAAATATAATAAT